GATCAAAATTAACATTTTAAATTAATAAATATAATTATATAAATATAAAGTAGAAAATATCAACCAAATTATATATAAAAAAAAAAGCACAATACATAACATAATTATAGTATTTAATAAATTAATATTAATATATTAAATAAAATAAATATAATTTTGGCATTACAAAATATGCAACATAGGATAAACATAATGATAGTGACATAAAATAACAAATAGCATAATAATTGAAATAATAAATAAAGAATAAAACTCATGAATAAATATAAAACATTGAAAGGAATAAAAAAAAAAAGGGAAATTCATATTCGGACCATTATGGGTCCGAATAACTTTTACGAACCAGAAGTTATTAAATATCATTTAAGTTAAGAAATTGCCTTGTAATTTTTAGACCGATGTCGGTTTGAAAATATCCGACAAAAAAACCTATCTAATTGTTTGGCAAATTATGTTTTTAATGACATTATTTAGACCACTATTGGTTTGAAAAATTTTGGTGCATTTTTACTGTTTTGGTGCCAACAATTTTCAAACCATGGTCAGTCCAAATAAAAATTTCCTAATAAACTAACCATTTATTCTTGATCAATTAGTATTCAAACCAACAATGGTACAAATTAATATATTTTCGGACCAAAATCAATCGGTCTGAATTGTTTCAATCTAAATATAAGCAATTTCTAGTAGTGATTAGACAATTTAAAAATATTGCTATTGTATCATATAATTCTCATTAATAGCGGAAACTGCTATTACCCTTTGATGTAGCAAATCAATATCTTAAGGATTTTACTAATATTTAACTTTTGCAGAAAAATAATAATAAATATTTGATAAAAATGTTATAAACATAATAAGCGTAATTACAAGCATATAAAATTGTCTTGTCTACTTAGTTGGCTCATAGGGCGTACTCTAATACCTCTAAAATACCAACTCCCTTGGGGATATGTAGGCTTGGAAAAGGGAAATAAAACGCAAATCTCAAAATGTATTGGCAACAGCTTAGGCTTAAAAGGGGATTTTAATTCTTGTAGCTAGTAAAACGAGGCTAAACATTCTTCTAGATTACGAAAAAAACTCAAAATAAAACAGAATTATTTACATAGCATTACTAAATTAAGTACTACATAAGTAAATGAGTGATCATGATTATGTACTATTATTATGAATATTCCAAGTAACTAGCAATTCAGGCAGATAGGAAAGAGTTTTGTGATTTGCTATAGGTTCTTACAATTCTCTAAACGCAAATCATGAAACCTCCCAAGAGATGTTGTACGTGCATCAACTCCCTTGAGGATAGCTATCTTGAAAGGCTGAAATATTGACGTGCATGTCGATATATCCCTTCCATTTGACAACTCATTCGTTCCACTGCATCACAAATTCAACAAGTTAGGCACATGAATAATTTCAAGTTAATCATCAACTCTTTTCTTCCACTAGCTTGTTCCCTAGAACTAGAAGGTTAACTTCGTTCCATATATATATATATATATATAGAAAGAGTTTAAGACTGTCTTTGGTTTACATCAAGTGCTTAATAAATATAAATATATATATTGTGGACTTTAATTTAACTTTTAAATCATAAAATTATTTCAAATTAATTAACATATAAACCCAATCAAATTAATTTGATGAAATGTGGATATGAACACCACAGTTATATGAACAAAATATTGAGATTACAAAATACTCAAAATAAAAAGCTTGCCTCTTTTTTCAAATAATAAGAGTACTTCGTAAAAATGTTTCATGTAAACTAGAATCAACACTTACCGTAGACATAAAATCTTGTTGAATTCAACTTAATTTTAAACTTTCATGAATTATAGTAATTACAAGAATTCAGTTGCAAAATGAACTCCAAATAAATTATAGAAATGAGATGAATTATATGTTCATCTATACTAAATAGATTCAAATAGATTCAAAAAGGGAAAAATATGTGAATTTATTTCTAACTAATTTATTAGTATTAAATTTCAAAAAAAAAAATGTTAAGGACTAAATTCATTTTGAAATGAAATGAATTATATTTAGTTTTCAAAATAATACAAAGTGTAGGGAAGCTTTGTTTATGTGTGAAGTGCTTTATTTATGTGTTCGTGGAATACATGCTATTCTTCTTTGAATTAATACGGTTTGAGGGGAGGAGGGTTGGAAGATCAGATAGGCTTTTTGATATGCTCACTTGATCAATTGTTTGAGTGGGGTTGCGTTGGTTTGTTCTCGACACATACTGGGATTAGGGTACAGTTTGTAAAAGGGTTTCTTAGAACCGTTTCTGACTGTTTTTATTAGGTGAGCAGTTTTGGTATGTATGTTCAGTTTGAGAATTTTTGTAATGAGGATATAATAGATTGAGGTACCCATGTGTCTCTTTAATAAAATAAATTTATTCTGATAAAAAAAATACAAGTCTAGAGCACACAAGTCGAGAAACTTAATGAGTACATATTTTAAGAAATAATTGTTAAGATACTGATATAAATACCTTTTAATTCAAGCATCTATTAAAAACTTATTATTTTTTAAATTTAAATTAAATGTAAAAAGATTTTAAAGTTAGACTTTAATGATTATACCAATGTATGTTGTCAAATATATTAAACTAGAAGTTATATCAATTACTTTTCTAACTTTTAAGTTTCATACTTGCAGCCTCTAATAATAAGAAGAAAAGAGACACCCAAAAGCATTCACTACAAAGGAGAGGTTGCCTTTATCTTATCAGCTGATACCATGGGATGGGGATGACACTTTTTAATGGAACTTTAGAATATAAGGTGTTTAGCTAGGAATGAAATTGAGAACTTGTGCTATTTCCAAACCGGTAAGATATATATAAACACTCCAACATGAAAGATGTCTCCTAAAGTGTATGCAAGGGTACGTCCGTAAAGATTTAGAATCCATTACAGTTGATTCATCATCAGACCTTTTGTTTTTTCCTTATTTCTCTCCTTGACATGGAAAGAGGAAGATGAGAGGTGAAATTTATCTGATTTTTTGAAAATTACTTATTGTCCTCCAAATAAAATTTTTTTTCGCAAATCAAGAGAAAATAAAACAAATACATGCATTATGGAGGGAAAGTTATTAGTACTATCCAATTTAAATACTTGTCAATACTTATTAGTTTAGCCATTAAAATTTATAATTTTAAATTTTTTTGTGTTGAATTTAAATTTAAAAATAATAATTTTTAATAAATATATTATAAAATATGTTGAATTACAAGATATATCAATTATTATCTATTATGGAGTTAGAATTTATTCAAGAATAATGAATAGTTCAGCACAAAATAAGACTAGAGTTGATACACCCTACACCCTCTTAGTGTTATATCACAATGAAATATCTCAATATCAACTCTTCCGCAGAAAAAGAGGCTTGACACAAAAGAAACAAAATATCACCACTTAGTATATATTAAACAAATGGATGCATATCGATTCATGTGCAAAAATAGAAAAGAACTATGTTGCAAAATTCCGTCCTTGATCAATTCATTCCACTATGTTACTAGCAAAAAAAACCAGTTATTTATTATCACTTAGAATTGTGAGATTTTACTATAAGATAATAGAATTGCAAGGAGAATAATTTTTCAAAAAAGTAAGGAAGAAATCCAAAGTCCAAGAATTAAAGTCTTGCCCCCCGCCCCTTCTACTTCAATTCCTATGCACCCTTATTATAGTTTTATGGACATTCCTTAGTTTGCTGCTGATCACTATTCTATAATAACTTGTGATATATCATACCATGTTAACACAACAAGCTCTTCAGATCGATGTCGAAGACAAATATGATAACCCTGGCGCTGACAATATATTTATATATATATATATATATATGATAACCCTATCTCGCTAGTGAACCTTATTTTTGCAATTAGAAATACATATTCTTCTCCAAGAGTAACCTATGTTTAGAATGTCAACTATATATAACACTAAATATTTGTGTTTGCAATTTGTCTATGGGGTGCTTAAAAAATATAGAACTGAAGTTGGGGTCTTAATTTTGGATGGTGATTGATACATACTCCAGTTGAACATACTGCACAATATTTTTATTAAAAAATTATTATTTTCAAATTCAAAATTTAAAAACAAACAAACTTAAAGATGCAATTATATATGCATACAAAATGTAGGAATCAATTGAATTGACTATGCGACTGTACTTATATTATATTTTAATAACTAATTTGAAATAAATGTTAAAAAATGTATTGAACCGAGTGTATACCAATTATTTTCCCTTAATTTTTCTAGTAGTATTGCTATGGTCAAATTTAAGTGTTAGCAAGAATGGGTTTATCTTTCAAGGAAGACGAAGGGAGATTCTTTAGTTGAATACTCCGTATAGACTAAATCTTTTTGTGGTTTATGTTGAAGTAAGGTAAAGAAAAATGATTGGTATACCATCTAACTCGACACATCTTTCAACACTTCTTTGGTTTAGTTATTAAAATAAAATATAATTACAACTGATTCAATCAACTCTTACATTATATATGCATGACTACATCTTTAATTTTGTTTACCTTCAATTTCATGTCAAAAAATAATGATTTTTTAATAAGTGTATTGTGTTGTATGTTAAAACGAATAATGTACCATTTAGTGTCTTATTCCCTTTGTAAGGGACTAGAACAAGAGCGCTCTACATGGCAGATTTAAGAGAATGATAAGTGGTTTGAATATATCAAGACATTTAAAATTATAGAACAGTTTTTTAGTTTCAAGATAGTACTAAAACATGTGATAAACCATTGATGTGTCTTCTTGCCAGGCGAGATAGTGAAGCTAGCAATATTTAGGTCTTAGTCCACACAAAGCAAATGTAAACCTATGACGAGTGTATATATCCATGGATAATATTGTACCCATAATGAGTATTACCCATGGTTAATGCATGCATGTACAAAGAAAAAAAATAAATAAATAAATAACAAAAACAAAACTCTCTTGTGGAGCATATCACAACTTACAAGTGGAAGGGCAAGTGTTGATGTAAGTTGTTCCCTTGGAAGTGTAAAGAACAATAGTACCACATTTGGAAAAATTAAGAGAATGATTAGCAGCCTAAATATGTCAAGACCTAAGAAACTAATGGACTATATTTTGGGTTCAAAATTATGCCTAAACATATGATGAGCGCCTAGATGTCTCTCTAACAGTTTAAGAGGAAGGCAGAGGGTATTCTAATTTCTTTTAGTGACTGGGTTCAGATTACTGTTGCTTGTGTGGGTGAGTGCAGGAGTTTGTAATGAAGAGTGCTTTTGTGAGACTTTGTTTCAGGATGTTTTAGTTGTTTGGTGGCGCTGAGTTTGATGCTGCTGCATTGTGGCTATTGTAAGCGTTCAAGTACCTTTGGAACTCTGTTTTGGATAATAATTTCTTTGCTGATAAAAAGGAAAAAATTGAATGCTTGAAACTAATATACTACTTTTTCTTCGAACAATCATCTTAAACAAAGACAAGAACGTACATGTTAGATGATAGGGTTTAAAGCATAATGGAAATATAGAACAAAACATAGAGAAAAATTGTCATAGGGAAGTTAAAAACTTCCCTACCGCAGAAATTTAGACCCTTCACTTCCCAAATTTACCTCAAAATCTAGGTTTTTTGAAGTTTAGTGAATGCTAAACCGACTAATTCTGCCCTTATTAGTACAGAAAATTGTTTAATCAAAATTAGAAAATAATGCCCTTCACTCTTTTTTACTAAATCTTGGCCATATGATCAAACAAAGAAAAGTTCCTTTAATTAAATCCAAAACCCAAGGGAATATATATTTATATACGGATGGAAGGAATAAACAAAAACTGAATACCCCACAAAATCTGATATCCGACAGCATGCAATCTAGTGAAGGTACAAAGGGTAACAACAAAAATTCAGAGCTACCCTTCTGCACTAAAGAGAAAAGCAATCAGTGGGGTATTAAATATTTTTATAGCTTTTTTTCACCATCAATCAATATGTTTATTAAATAAGCATTGGCTTTCTCCTGCACCATAGAGATCTTTGAAATAATGAGTTCATTATATATAATTTAATTGATACAAGCCACCAGAAAAGCATGAAAATGAGCATTAAAATATTCATCAAGGGACATTTACCTTAAACACTGATTGATGATTTGCTCCAAAATCATTTGTTCATTTTTAATTTTTTATGTTAACATGGAAAAGTAGTGTATGATATCTCATTTGACAATTCATGGGTGACACAAAATCTGCAGAATCTTTAAAGATCCAAATCTTGGAAAGTTAATATCAGATAATAAATATTGAATGTAGGCACTATTAATACAGTGTGTTTGCATATTTTTTGTTGGTGTTTGTGTTTGTGTGTTTGGTCCGGTTGGTTAATTTTAGAGATGTTTGCATATAATATTGTCTTACCCATTGAATTAAATGTATATATATTTATGAGATCAGTAGTAGAAAGATCTAAAAGGGCTAAACTTGTAACGTATATGTACGTACTATTATAGGGGTAAACATTTGTCTTGTACATGTGGAAGAGATGGTTTTTAGGTATAGTAAAATTAGTTGAGTTAAAGATCTAGATACAAATATTATATAAAATGAAAAAAAAAAAAATTGATTACGACTTCCTTTTGTTCTTTGTATTCACATACATATCTCCAGAGCTTGAACATCTAATCATTTTAACAAGAAGAAGACTTTAAAAGGTAATCTGCATAACTCCAGCTCGCTAAAGGAGTTTTATCTTGCAAACTTAAGTTAGAATGCTTGTGTTAATTAATAAGCAAATTAGGGTTTCTTGCCTTTTGCAATATGGTACAGCTAAGTCATCACATGATTTTATTATATTGCAAACCAACTATCTCCTTTCTCATCATTCTTCAATTTCTGGACCAAGTACATTACTTTAAGGCTTCAATAACATGCATATAGAAACAAACATCATGAGCAGTACTGTTTAAGATGAAAATATAATTATGGATCTAGCTTTTTATGTATCAGAAGGTGATTAATATATAAAATTAAAAATTCATTCAATAATTAAGAAGATTTTAGTTACCATGATCAAGAGAAGTGCATGGTGGAGCTGGAGCTGGAGCTGGATTCATCATTTCCCTTGCTTTGATTTGGTTTCTTTTTCTTCTTGTAGGGAATACCTCTTGCCTTAGCTTGACACTCCTTCACCTCTCTAAGATAAACCCTGATGGCCCCACTGGCGAAAGGATTGGTCTCCGGTGACCCTCCATTCTCTTCGTAGGCAGCTCGAAGCCTCCCGATGAGAGCATCAAGGCTCCCCCAAGCCTGCCGGAGTGGGCAGGTGCAAGGGGCAGGCGGCTCGGGCTGCCCGTAAAACATGCAGCCCTGGAGATGAACCTTAGTCTTTCCAAACTGGTCAAGGTAGCGAAGGAAGTCGAGCACATGGTTGCAGTTGCACTGTGAAAGGGGAACCGGGGGCCTTTGGTTCTTCAAGTACTGTCCAAATGTGTTCCAATCCCTTCTTTTCTGGGACTCGTATCGGCTCGGTGGCTGCGGCTGATGATCATTTCCAGGTATATTCATATTCCTGGACGATCCTTCTGCTCTTTCACTGGACATGCCTTGTGATGGTTTGGTGAAGATCGAAAATTTTTTGTTTTGCTAAATAAGGCAACCAAGGGAGTTTGCTAGGGTGAAAAAAATAGGAGATCGAAGGGAAGAGTGGAGAAGGTGAACTAACATCATATGGGGTATAATGAGTGACATCCTATGGGCCACTCCCAGTTGCTTTCTGTTCCTCCTCTTTTCTTCATCTTTAGTTTCATTCTCTTTTTCTTTTTTCCTAAAATTTTACTCTTTTTAGTTTTACATTACAAAAAAAAAAAAAAAGGGAACCTCTTTTCCATCCCTTTACCCTCTTCATCAACATGCCTAAAATTTAAACTCAATTTTTTATTTTCACCTGAAGAAAATTACCAATGGGTAATTTAGGTGGTTGATTCCTCCAAGAATTGTAACCTTATACCCATACAATTATTCATAAAAAGGAATTGTACCATATATCCATACAATTATTCCACGTCCTTTGCTCTTTTAATTAAAGCAACCTAAAAGAATTTGAACCATGGACTGGTAAATCAACAGCCAATGGGTCTTGCCAAAACCTTTGACACTGGTATTAATTGGAACTTGAAAACTTTTTTCAAACATGCCGACAACAGTTAGCGCTGGAACAGCTAGAAAAAAAAAAAAAAAAAAAAGAAAGAAAGAAGAAAAGAAAAACCCTAATTTTCAACTTTTCTGTCCTAAACCACAGCAGTTTGAAATATGTCTATTTCTTATACAAATTAAATTATCCTATAGCAGTCAATATGTCTTTGAGATATTAATTTGTATATCCTCTAATTTAATACATTATATAACATATTTATTAAAATATTATTATTTTTTAAGATAAAATTAAAGATAGATAAATTTAAAAATACAATTATGCATACAATATGTAAAAACTAGCTAAATTAGCTATATTTATATTATATTTTCATAGCAAAACTGGGTAGGTGTTGTAAGGTGTGTCAAGCGAAGGGTATAGCAATCATTTTACATATGTTTAAAAAAAAAATTGTGAGGTTTAGTTGTAATCTCCTTTCTTTAAAAGTAAGATATTCTAAGTTAAAATAGCATGGTATATGGGTTGAATAAGTTAAGGAACAAAAGAGCATTGCCTCCCATTACGCAACCTAATATGTAAAAATAAAATAAAATAAAATAAAATAAAATAGGCTTCATTTGAATAGTGGAAAATTTTATGTAGGCGGCTACTAATTGTTTTTTGGTTTGCTAGAAAAAATGGGTCAAGTGAAATTGGTAAAACCTAATAAAATTATGTGATCTAACTAGGTCTAAGCATTGTTTCTAATGTATATGTGTATTATCATTGTCTAATTAATGTAAAAAAGTGTAGGGTATAGAATGAATTAAATATGGGTTGCTGGATATGAAAACCCAAAAGATTGTCATTGGCCAAGTCCCTTCTCCTTTTCAAAAAACAAAAACCCTATCTCTATAAAGAGTAGGGTTAGGGAGTGACATGTTACCACTAGAGGACATTGAATTAGCAAGGTAAAATTAACAATTTATTTAGACATGTCAGTGATATATAAATTCACTCAAGTTGCTAAAAATTATAGATAGTCAATCATTAAACACATGCAATCGATGCCATCGTTACAATCAACAAGGTACAACCACGTTGTTGAAACTTAATTTATCGACATAGGTTGTCTTGTTAAACTTTTCTGGCTATTAAAATAATTTTTCAAGATAAACCACGCTGGTGATGGTATTTGATGCTATACTTTTTTGAACACTTATTATGTTTCATCCTATACTGGTAAATACAATATTAAGATGGTATATGTTGAAAAATGGTTAAAGATTGTTAACCAATAACCCCACTTAACTTTTAATTTTCATTATATTTGCAACATTTTTCGTGTTAGTGATATCTACCTTTTAGCAATGTGGCGTATGTTGCTAATCAACAAACTCAAAAAACTTACATCTAGCAATAAAGGGTACACACGTTGATGATTCCAAAATATTTAAAGTTCTAATATCACTAATCTTTTCAAATTGTCAAATTAGAACACGTTGCTAAAAATGCTGAAATATTTAAATAAATTTAAGTTATACCTTTTCCAATTGATAGCATTGCAAGTCATATGAGTAAAACTTATTTCATCAAAATATTTATATTGCCAATACTTTTAATATAGCAATACAAGCCACATTAGTGAATAGGTCAAAATTTTTGAAATAATTTTTAATAGATACTCTTCAAAACACAAAACTGTATGCCACGTTAGTAAATATAATTGAATTTTTAGAAATCCTTTAAATTCAACACATTTACTGACATGGGTTGTACTATTTCTGGTAGTATATATACTACATATAGATAGCAAGCTACTTCATTTTTTTTCCTTTTCTTCTTCCTCCTTATTTCTTCTCCTTCTTCAGACTTTGCCAGTTTGGCCATTGCTATTTATGTCTTAAGATCATTGTTTTTGCTTAGTTTTTGAGTTAGCATATGAATTGAAACTTTACCAAAATTATTCTAACATTTTCAATTTGGAAAATAAGTTGTACACACTTTGACTTAATACACCCAACAACACCCATCAATTCAACCATTGAATTTTGTAACTTCTAGTTTTCCCATCTTTGATTCAAATTTAAAAAAAAATAATTAATTTCTTTATAAGTGTGTTGTAAGGTGTGTGAATTAAAGGGTGTACCAATTAATGTTCTTTTCATGTTTTTCCCATTTTAATTCATGTTTTTAATCTTCTTTACTCTCCTAACCTCTCAAGTTTTGTTTGTATGCCTTTATTTTGCATGATTTATGTTAATTTTGAGAAGTAATATCCCTTTAACTTAGCTTATGCTATATATATTTTGTTGATTAATCAATAAATTTTGGTATATTTATAAACTAACTTCTTTCATTTTTCAACTTTTGTAGGTGAAAATTTTTATATAATGAGGCATGACTAACTATAGTAGTAAGTTTATTTAAAATTACATATTTTTAGTGTAATTTTAGTGATATTTTTTTCCATTTTCCCCTTACTATTAATTACTAATTACAAACATTGAAGTATTTTCTAGGAAAAAACTTGAGATGAATTATTTATTGAGGTATGATTCACTATTATTTTGAGATGAATATATACGTTTAGAGTTTCTGTAATTTTTTATATTTTGCATGTTTTTACATATTATTGTTATATTTAGTGAATTTTTCATAGTTTATGAGCTATATAAGTTTAATTGACTTCTATTGCATATTATCATTGATTTTGCAATTAAAATTTTGTATTGTCAATTATATCACTGGAATTGTTGAATTATTCAATTTTGTGTATAATTTGTAGGATAAAATAACATTTTTTATTTTGGATAAGAGAATATTTGACTTTTTTTTTTTTCTTTTAGGAATAGGAACATGGCATTGTAACCCACATCAATGAATGGTGGAGGGCATTTGGTTTTTTTGAGAAATAAAAATACTTAGCAATATAATTTATGTAGTTGATGATTAGACCAACATATACTATATCGGTAAATTCTAGTAAAAAAATCTAGAAATAATATTATTTATAATTATTATAGCAATGTTTATTACGTAGGTTAAAGTTTAGTCAGACATGTGGAACTTTTACCTATGTGGTATGTGTTGTAATACAATGAACATATATAGTGAGGTTTTTATGACACATATCTTTACATTGTCTTATATATCACATCAATGAATTTTAATATACATCAATGTAGGTTGTCTTGCTATATAGGTTGTAAGAATCCCATTATTGATATAATGACTTTCATTTAACATTATTTTGCTTGTTAGTAATTTATTGAAATTCAATTAGACGTCTTTTTGCTTTGACTAATAAAAAAATTATATTTAAATGTGAATGTAACAATAGTTGCATTATTATTATACCAGTTGATTATATTTGTATGGTAATTAGTTGCAATATATATTTCCTAGCATGACTAATAGTTTCAATTAATTGACGCACAAAATATTGACTACCACTATAATAAAGATGATAAGTATACCTAAATGAGATCGAGAAATTGAATTAGAATGGATACTAGCAATGGGGCTTGAGTGAGTTGTGGGATTGTTTTGTGCTATTTCATTCTCAATACTATGTTGGTAAATTTTTTTATAAGTTGAAGTACCTTATACTCACATCATTAAATATAATTGGTGTTAATTGACAAAAAAAAAAGTCTCAACGGGGTATACTATTTTATATCTACTAATTGTTGTCATTTTTCAACACTAAGAATATGGAGTTCCCAAATTATGTCTATCTCCCAAAATCTCTCTTTCACTTTGGAGTTTGGGTTAGAGTTGAGAGTTTGTCCACTATTAAGAGTGGTTAATTTTCAAGTCTTAGGGTTTCTCTCCTTATCTTCTTTCCAGTGATTAACAATCTCTCTCCTCTCATATTTTCATTAAACAAAGATAGAAGTATGGATGACTACATGGGGCAAAAAGAAAGTGACCAAGGAGAAAACCTAGCCATGAGTTCACTATGATAGAGGGAAGGGAGAAGCATGCAAAGACAAAGGATGGGACTGGTACATAGGCATGGCAGCAAGCATGACACGACTAACCCTTAAGTTGTAGCAAAGAGATTGGGTGTAGCTCCAAATAGCTGAATGACAGAGTGACAGGGCAAGTGGACGTTATCATAGAAGGGCATGCAAGGCATTGGAATATGTTAAGCAAGATGGCAAAGCATTAAAATGCTTTAAGAGTGAGGCTTGATGAATGGCAAATAAAGGTTGGGCGAAGCTTGATGAGTGCAAAGGAAGGGGCATTGGCAGATGTTGGGTTGATATTGCTTCTTATAAGCTTAAGCACTCATCTAGACAAAACAATGAGGCAACAAGGTTTAAGGAAGCATGGAGGGTTGGTAACGCAATAGAGGGTGACAATAGAATAAAAAGGAATGGGAGAAGAAGTCAACATATAGAAGGCAAGGAAACTAATTACTCCTTGAAAGAATTATTAGCTAAACTCTCAATTTTAGGAAAAGAAAAAAAAAAAAAGAAGAAGAAAAACAAGAAGATGAGGTAATAGTCAAGCAGGGTGTCAATAAGAA